GAATGCAGTTGAAGAGCATTCTGATGAAGAGACCCAAGCCATTGTTCTCCACCAGTCGATGACCCCTGGTGAGAAGAGCAATGCTTGGAACCAGCACCAGACACACTTGAAAAAGTGTGGGAATGAATCCTTGAAAAAGGATTTTGAGAGTTTGGACAGAAAGGGCAAAGGCCTCAGCACAGCTCTGTTCTTGCTCAAAAAGAACAGAGCTGTGTATGCCCATGTGTCCAAAGAAGCAGCCAAAGAAACCTCCTTGAAAAAGAAAGAGAAATGGCTGAGTGAAATGGAGGCAAATGCCAAATGGAGCCCTGCAGAGTTGGAAAAGCACATCCAATCTGGAAGGGTCATTTGGCGAGAGTGTCCCACCACCTGGGGTGTCTATGAATACCAAGACACTGCTGACTATGAAAAAGAGGTGGTGGGCAGGAAGAGATGCTCCTGGCAATTTGGCCAGGAGTATGAGCTTGGGGAGGAGGATGAAGAGGACTGGCAAGAAGCCTTGGACAAGGACTTGCACAGTCTGATGCTGGGGTGCCTTGAAAAAGGCAAGGGCTCTGGCAAGAGCCTTGAAAAAGGTAAGGGCAAGAGTGGAAAGGGCAAGAGGCATGGCAAGGACCACCAGCCTATGGAGGATGAGCCTGAGGAGAAGCCCTTGACCTTGGCTGAAGCCTTGAAAAAGGCTAAGAAGACCAGGGACTTGCTCAGCTCTACCCACAGCAATTTTGAAGAGGCCTTGAAAAAGGTTGAAAAAAGTCCCTATCTGAGCAAGCAGGCCTTCAAGGACAAGCAGGAAGTGCTCACCAACCTCACTGAAGTCTTGAAAAAGACCAAGCAACTCCTTGAAAAAGGGGACAAGAACAAACTTGAAAAAGTGAAGAGCCACCTGGTTGAAGCTTGTGCCTCTATGAAGCATGCAAAGGAAGAGGCAAAAGAGCTTGTTCAGATTGGGATGAAGGCCTTGAGCAAGGCAGCCTCCTCCAAACCCAAATGATTACCTTGAGAAAGGTACAGTTTTGATGTGTACAAAGCTATAGCCTTGAAGCTATGTAAAGAAGCGCTTGGAGAAAAAAGTTCCCTGCAGCATGCTGGTGTTGGGGTTGGGGTTGGACACTGGGTTGAACCACTTCAGTCAAGCAACTGCAGCTTCATTTTGGCCCACAAGCTTCAGTATAGTTAGTGCTAGTTAGGCATTCTTCTGCAATTGCCTTGAAAAAGGCCTGGGGGCTTGAAGAAGCCCAAGAAAGAGATACACTTTTAACCTTGGGAGCTTGAAAAAGTTCCAAGCCTCTTGGCCCATGGCCAAGAGGCTGAGAGGTTGGCAGCTTGAAAAAGAAATGCAAAACCCAACCAAGACACCAAAAAGGGGCAGCAAGAGTGCTTTGGCTACAGCTCTTTTGTGCCTATGGGCTCATGGAAAAGCTAGTGGTACCACCATCAGATGGCTGGCAGAAAGTGCCATGCTAGATGGGGCAGAGCATGAAGAGCTGTTCACCATTGCCAAGTGTGGGAGCCATGGAAAGCATCCTGGCAACATCCACAGGGACCTCATGGCCAGCTTCTGCAAAGAGCTGAGCATGCCTGACCCCTGCGATGTTCAGGTCCCATGCAAAAATCCAAAATCCTTGAAAAAGGATGTGGAATTTGCGGCATGCTTCCTCCCTCACCAGATGTTTTCCAAGCTTGCCTCCAGCTATGAGGATGTGTTCCAAAGCATTTTCCCAATTGAAAAATTGGAAGACTTCTGGAACCAAGCCCTTGAAAAAGGAGATGACCGGTTGAAAAACCACCCCATGCAGCAAAGAGCATGGAAGAAGAAAACCATCCCTTTGTTTATGCATGGGGATGGGGTTGAATATCAAAACAGAGACAGCCTCATGGTCTACAGCTGGGGCAGCTTATTGCAGCAAATGTCCAGCCTATCCTCACACTTCTATATAGCAGGCTTCCCCAAAAGCTGCACTTTGGATGGAACCTGGGAGGAAATGATGGTGTGGATTTGCTGGTCCTTTGCTGCATTGCAGCATGGCTACCACCCAACTCATGACCCAGAGGGGAAGCCCTTGAAAAAGGATTCTCCATTTTTCCTTGAAAAAGGAAAGCCATTGGCCCATGGACTCTGTGGAGTCTTGTGGGTGGTCCAAGGAGACCGTGAATTTTTCAGTAATTCACTAAAGTTGCCCCATTGGGCTTCCAAAAGCCCTTGCTGGGAATGCTCAGCCAAGAAAGATGCAAAACCAGCCAATATGTGCTACAAGACCCTTGAAAAAGGGAAGCAAGCCTGGAAGAGAATCTCCAATGAGGAGGCTTTGGCAAATCCTAAGAGCGCCCATAATCTATTCTCAGGAGTGATTCCAGGCTTGAGCACTAAAATGGTTCGAGGGGACTGCTTGCATATCCTCTTTACCAAGGGGGTGCTTGGGCACCTTCTTGGTAGTTGCATCCATTATTTTTTATATTATGATGGAGTTGGAAAAACCCAGAAGGTGTCTCCAGAAAAAAGATTGGGTTCAATCTTTGAAGCTGTGCAGAAAGAATATGTTGCACAGGAGACACCTACCAGGGTCACCAACCTGCGCTTGAGCATGCTGTGCAATCCAAAGGAGCCCCACAAAAGCATGGCTCAATTGGATCTCAAGGCCTCAGAGACCAAATGGTTTCTGCAGGCTTTTGCACCTGTCCTCCAGAATCTTGTGTCTCTTGAAAAAGAGCATGAAGCAACTATGTTGCAAGCAGTGGAAGACATGGCGAAGCTCACTGACCTGTTTGATCAAGGAGATGTCTTCTTGACTAATGGGGAGTGGCTCAAAGCCATGAAGCTGGGAGAGAGCTTCTTGAAAAAGTATAGCTCTCTCTCTGCTTGGGCCCTTGAAAAAGGGAGATCCCTCTTCCACATTGTGATGAAACATCACACTTTTCAACATTTAGTTGAGAATGCAAAATTCTTAAACCCAAAGACAAACTGGACTTTCTCCTCAGAAGACTTTGTTGGGAAGATGAGCATTCTCACGTCTTCTGTAAGTCCAGGGGTGTCTTCAACAAGGGTGAGTGCAAAGGTTGCTCCCAAATATAGAATTTTGCTCCATTTCCTTCTGACCAGGGAAGGAATGGAGCAAGCAGGGAGAAACATTGAACCTTGAAAAAGGACAACTCCCCTTGCAAGCTCCTTGAAAAAGGAACTGCATGCCTAGACCTTGAAAAAGGTCAGTGGACTTGCAAAAGGCCTGTCCAGACTAGCTTGTCTGAAAGGAAAAAGGCGCCTGCTAGCTTTCAGGGTATATTGATTTTATTGATTTCCCTTTTGATTTTTTTTGATTTTGCATATTGATTTTGATGGTGGGAAAAGGCTTCCAAAAATATTGATATGGAAATCAAAAAAATCAATTCAAAAATATTGATTTTTTTTGTAAATCAACCAGCATTAAAGTTTATTGATTAGGATCAAGATTCGATGCTCAGGGTGTCGTAAGGAGAATGGAAGTGAAAGAAAAGAAAACTAGCAGGTGAAGTAGTGGCCACCTTCCTGCCTCCCCAAGGCATTTCTATGAAGGAATGGTTGGTGCATAGAGTTCCTGGAATAGCCAGCTCATAAGGGTGCAGGATTGGAGTGGCCGTGAGACCCCTTTCAGTTGTTTCGCAGGGTCGAATCCGACAGGATCCGCATGGGTAAGCCCATCGGCCCAGGTATTCATGTCCTGTTTCACGTGTGAAGGGGCAACCGCCTTGATGATCACTGGCAGACGGAGACCTACTTGTGCGACCACTGGCTAGGCTGCTTCTGTGTTATCCGCCTCCAGCTGATCGTGCAAGGTTCCAGCGTCTCGCATGGCCCGTTTTTTTGCGCCAGTCAGAACTTATAACAAAAACGGGGCGTGGACCGCCATGCACAGGATGAATTGCAGATGGCTGCGGATGTATTTTTGGATTTGTTCGTTGTTTATTTTTTCGTGTTTCGTGGCAGGTGCAGTACTTTGTGGACCTAGAAGTGCAGTACTTTGTGGACCTTGAAGTGCGAGAGATGTCCAAATCCCGAAGAATCCGAATTGCTGTCAGGGCCCTGAGCCCTGTGCCCCCCCATGCCAGGCATGGTCTCTAACCAGTGTTGCACCGCCTGGTCTTCTGTTTCAGCAAGAGCTGCCGATTGAAACGCTTCTTGAAGCCCAACAGGAGCGCTGCGTACGCAGTGTTAGTCTGTATCCCGCAAGTGTTGTACTTCGCAGTATCCTGCGCAGACCTGTCGCCACAGCGTCCCTGGTAGCTCATGATGAAACGCTGCCGCACATAGTGGGCGAGGTCCGTGCTTCTGCCTAAGACAGCGAACAATTAAGTTAACCTCTGAAGATACGCATCCTGTCTTGATGGCATGCCTCTACGAGCAAAACTAGTTAGCAATGCTCTGACCTTCTCTTGCTCTGTGCACAAAGCCCAATCGCGCAGGTTGTTCCCACCGATGCTTTGTCTGGAGGCAATCTTTAAACGCCTCAGTGCTCTGAAGCTCTTGGTCATCGCGTGTCAGGGATCCAAGCTTAAAGGGGTCATGCATTGGCTCGCCGGCGATGATGGACCCTTCCCCTTTCAAGTCAAAGTGTCTGATCTCTGCGCCCGTGGCAAGACCCTTGGGTGTGGCATGTTGCGGGGCGAGTCGGGACTCCGGGAAGCGGCCAACTTCTTATGGTGTTTGTCGTAGCTTGTAGCTGTCTGTAGCCGGTGATGTGTTCTGAAAGAATCCAAGGTAGCATGACAGCAGGAATGCCCTGCAAGGTTGAGAACCTCAGTGGCCAACAAAAGAGGGCCACAAACTCGAGGCCCCAAAACATTCGTGCGTGTGAGTTTGCTCTCAACATGGTCGTTATTCAATAAGGCGACGTGACATCTACAAGTAGATGTAAGCTTCCTTGGTTGGGGTGGAAACGACTTCGCATCCCAGCTGCCGTTTCGCGCGTCTCGCTCGCGTCGCGTCGCTCGCGCGATGGACGGGCGAAACGGGCTTCGTCCGAAGGCACCGAAGTAGCGCCACCAGGTCATGGGCCGAGGCTTCTTCCGCCTGCCAGGGCCGCGCACGAAGCAGCCCCGCACCTGCGGTGGGACGGGCGTTGGACAAGGAAAGGCAGGAAGATGGGTGAGGATGGATGAAGAGGAGAAAGGGGGACAAGAAAGGGAATGAAAAATGAGCATTGCATATATCATTGAATAACATTGATGGAAATGGTGCAACTCAGCGCAGAAGAGGCACTTTCACTTCTGTCTCCAAGCGGTTCATTTTTTGTGCGTGATTCTCTTCAAGGAACAGGTATGCCGGCATACATCCTCTTCGGGTGAAAGATTCACCTATACATCCTATATCATCCTATACCCCTATTAGTCTGGGACAGGGGTCGGGGTCGGGGCATAAATGGCGTTTTTCCGCGTCGAGGCCGGCCACGCGAGCTTTGGAAGCTGGCCTTGTGGGTGGGTTTTCAGGGGGACAGCAGTAAGACAAAGACCCCCCCGGCCAAACCCCTCGGAGAAAAGAAACATCAAACATCATCCAATAAACGCTGGAGGCTCTTCCGGATCTTGGAATATCTGGAAAAACATCGCCGGAATGTGTGACTTGCCCTTGAATTGCCCTTGAAGGGTTCACATCATGGAACCTCAAAACATATCCAAGACTCCAAGACTATACTAATATATTTATATAGTTATATATACATACAATTCGATGCTTCGGAATACTTCCGGCATCTCTCGGCTCACCCGCTCATAGTTCCACTCCCAAACGAGAAAGCGGCGAAGCCCGGCGCCTCCACCGTGTCCATGGAGCACATGAGCTCGATCGCCGTCGTTCCGCTGCTCATCCACAAGACGTTGGCGAAGCCGGCGCCGTGAACACCAAATGCCAGGGAGGCTCGACTGAAGAGGCCTGTGTCATGTGGGCTGAATGTGGGGGTGGATGGCTGTGGATGGCTATAAATGGCTGTGGAATGCGACGAGTGGGAGTGATATGGATTGATGTGCACCTGGATCCGAAGGTGAACATGCTTCCAGGAAAATCCTGATCGCACAATTGAACTGCAACATACTGCAACCACCAAGAGGGGTCGGTGGGCGTGATTGAAACCGAATGCGAGGGTTTCAACAACCCACCATGCGCTCTTGAACCTGCCCCCGCCCGCAGCTGCCAAGGCTCGGTACTGTTCCTCGAAGCTCATGGCCCTTCCATCGCTTGAGGATCCATTGAAGAGCACGACTTCTTCGGAACGCCTCGAAGATCCGTGCTGGACCCCGAGGTGAGGTGAGAGACGTAGATCTGCCCAAATATGACACATGTGGGGCCAAATGCTCCGAGAAACCAGCGCGACTGCTCCCAAAAAGCTGGAAATAAATGATCTTGCTCTACTACTGGGCGGTGGCAAAGTTACCAGTGTGGGGTTACATCGCAATTAGCAGAAATAGAATGAAAAAATCAATTCCGATTGTGGAAGACTCTGATAGACTCTGAGATCATACCAAAATGAATCAAAATGAGATGAGTTCGCAACTTCTCCATGATCCCCCCCAAGCCTAAGGGCCTAAGCCTCCGATGGGTTTCCAATCTACACCCCACCGCTTCGAACCAAAACATACATCTTTCTCACCCACGTATCATCACGTATACCTGGTATGCCTGTGTTCCATGGCCGAACTCCTGCAGAAACCCGCCCCTCCCGACCGCTCTCCTTTGCTCCTGCAGCCGCTGCTGTGCAAGCTGGATCAGTGCATCCGACTGCTGAGCCACCAGGAGGCGGGTATGCATCGTGTCATCTCCGCGTTGGTAGTACACGGCCACCGGTGCCACCGGTGCCGAGGCGGGTGACAGCTGTGAGTGAAGCTGGAAGGCGAAGCGGTGCAAAAACATGGTGAGTTCCTTGCTGGCCGTGCGTGGTCGCACGCTCTGGGGGGTGGAAGGCCGGGCAAGGCCGGGTCCAAGAAGCACCATGCAAATATCAATGAATAAACAAACAGGACATTACAGGACTATAATATAGAACGGACTATTGGATGTTTTGGAACATCAACCCAAACCCTGCTGAGCGTTTGCTAGGGAATGGGCCTTTTCCATCCAGCTGTTGCGTACTGCTAGCCTTTATGGGTAACCTTTTGATGTCCTGGCCTGGGCTCATGGCTTTGCCTCCAAGGGCCTTGGTCTCTGTCCGACTCTGTCCAGCACTGTTCATATGAATGTCCAAAAGGACCGCTCTTTGTTTCCAGTGGCAACTGAGGAATAGATCTTGAGCTGATGTGCTTGAGATCTCCTTCTGGCCGAATGTGATAGCATGACTCAGCATGAGATTCCCTCCAGCAACGCACTTGGCAACTTGCATCTTACAACCATCCAAAAAGACCCAAACACTCATTAGCCATTTAAAAGAACATACTATGTAGTATACTATAGTCTAGTATGGCCTAGTATGGTCTAGTTAGTATCGCATCTTTCAAAGGGTGCCTTGAGAGGGCTTGTATTTTGTTGCTGCAAAACATACTGCCCAGATTTGGATTGAGTCAAGCACATCATGATGATGATGATGATGATGCTGCTGCTGATGATGATGATGCTGCTGCTGCTGATGATGATGATGATGGTGCTGATGACGATGATGGATGCGATGTGATGTGATGTGATGTAACTGTATAGTTGGCAACCCGCAGCTGCTTTCTTTTCGGTTGAAGACACATGTGAATTGAGAAAAAAAAAAACAAACTGTTGATTAAAGACAGCTGTTCCTCTGTGGTTTGGGGGCGAGGCTTTTGGGATGTTTTGGGGGCGTTCACACGGTTTTTGCACCACCCGTTGATTGCCCAGCTTCGGCGATGCGGAGGTCTTCGGGCCGCGTGATGCCGGGGCCTGGGCGTCATGAGAACAATCGTATGGAAGCATGAAGATCTGTGTAGAACTGGTCATATATCGTATATACTATCATGTAATAAAATCATGTCAACTTGATATCCTGGAATGAATAAAATAGTAATTTGTCCAACATTGTCAACCTTAAGAATCCGGGCCCGAACCAACACATAAGGCTTTGAGGGGCTGGACCCCTGCGAAGGTGTTGGGTCCGACCCCTGCCATGGGGAGCCTCCCGGTATTCTTACACCTTGTTCGATCAGAGCTCTGAGACCTTGTGGAATCCAGGTGGGAGAGGTCGGTGGTCTCCAGAGTCTCGGTCGTTGTGTAGCCGACAGTGTAGGCAACACTCCCGGTCGTGTTGCACAGATTCTGAGACTCTAAGATACCCCAAAGGAACTCTCTCGGTCCTCAACCCTCTGTCGTTCTCCAGTCTGATAAACAAACATCCACATGACCGCTGAAACCGCCGAAACTCCCGTGCTCCGGACATTCGTACTGCGGACGTCCGGAAGACCTCCACGTGTTCGGATGTTCGTACTGCGGACTCGGACGGCCTGGCTCCAGTAGAAGTAGCTGATCAGCACAAACCACATGGTCCACTGGAACGAAGAGCAAGCGCTTCACCAGGCCGTCGGCATCAAACCTCTGGACGTAGAAAAAAAGAAGATGGGTGGCTGAAGATAGAAATAGAATGAACATGAATGAACCTAGTAGCAAGAAGCTACTAGGGGCTCCTGGCATCGCTACTAGGAGCAAGAAGCTACTATAGGTGGAGGCCATCGCTATTAGGTTGGAGGATCCACTTCTGAGTTTGGTAAATTCGCCACCTTTGAAGTATTGGTGACATTTGGTGACTGGTTCGTAGTCCACTGGACCTGTTTCAGGGCCTACCCTCAGTTTGGCTTGAACACTTTCCCAAGTGCCACCCCTTCGGCGATTTGGTCGCCAGCAGTGTTAGGGACTGCAAGTGTTTTACCGCAGGAAACAACCAGTGGTAATCACTTGATATTGCTAGTGTTGGTGTTGGTGGCCTGCAAACTACTTGTTGATACTTGTTGCAAATCCGAAAGACCCTTTTTTGAGAAGCTCTAACGCCAAGTTTGTTTGGTCAAGCATCTTCAACGTCCTGCAGCAAGCTCTGGGGAGGGTGGTCGGAAAACATTGCCAAAGAATTAAACTGTCAGGGACTCCCTTGGTAGAGGACCCAGTTGTGGCTTGATCAGTCTGGGATAACTGAGGGGAACATCCCAGTCGACCGCGGTGGTTTGTTGGAGGAACATCCCCCTTCTCCACCACTCGTCCGAGCCGTAAGCCCGACCTGCATAGCCGCGAGCACGGTCGACCACATAGACACATGCATGTTAAGAGTCGAGGAAATTCCAAAAATACTGCCTCAAAGTGCTGCCAGAAGCTGAATAAGCTGAGTAGCCACTCCATGAATTGCTTCACCAAAGAATTCCTGAGCATTGTAGACACTCTGATGACTCCGAGAGAGGAACTTCATCTGGTCGGGAGAGCTTTAAAAATTCTGTCACCAAACAACTATTTGCAAAATGATCACAATCTCTGCCTGTGTTGGGATTCTTCGAAGGTCGCAACATGTCTTTGTGGACTCATCGATCTGTCTCATGTCTCTTGAACCATGCCCAACCGCTCGCCTCGCATCGATCTGATCGATGTGTTTCCAACGCTCGCATGAAAAATGGAAGCTCGTTGATACCCGATGTGGCCGTGGGTGCCCCCCGACGTTGCTCTGCACACTTCGGAAGAAAGTGAGAGGTTCATGAACTTGGCAGAAGTACATCCATGCAGCCCTGATGTGATGAGTACTTGACCACGAAGATCGCGTAAGAGGCTGGAATCATTGGAGTCTGCAGTCTTCAACAAGCACCAAAAAGGTGATCCGGATCTTGCAACCCGACATCCAACGTGCCTTTCCGTTCCCAAAGAAACCCCAGCGCACCCCCCTGCTGTTCCGTGGTCAATCCGAGGATATCCAAGTCGTCTTTTAGACGAGGTACGTCGTTTCGCTTTGCACGGCGATGGTGATGTTGGGGTACTGGTGGAAGATCCAGGCGACCATCGGCAACACGTCTCCTGAGACGCGACTTCTTGTCCAGTGCCGCAGGGCACTGGTAAAGGGACCAAGGTCCAAATCTGCGTTGGGTCTGACTACAAGGGGGTGCATTAGAATGGGGGAGACCCCCAAAAGACCTCTGGGATCAAAAGCAGACTAAATCCATTGGTTCGTAGGTCCTGTTAAAAACACACCTACAAGATGGTCGTATTTAGGCCACAGCTAGGCTAGCGGATGGTGTGTTTCAAGGTCTCACTTTTAAAGAGAGAAGACCGAAGACCCATGTAGATCCACCTGAAGGTCCTGCAAAAGAGGAATGATTGCTGTGTATAAAGATGTATAAAGTACTGTACAGTATAAAGTATAGCTTGGCAGCTGAAGATGTGGGTCTTCACTTAAGGAACTGATCGGCAATTCATGCCTTTCTGAAAAGGACTTTGATTCGCGCCTTGATCGGGCTCCAGAACATGCATGCATGATACACGGTTCATGGAAACCTGCCGCTACATTACTCAATACTGGATGGAATAACAATATCTGATATTGTCTGATCGTTTACACTTGTTGTTCCAATCAATAATATATCTGCAATCTTCTCCAAGCGACGCATCTGCCAAGATCCAGAACCTTCTTTAGAAAAATCCAGAAAAGGCTCCAGTGGGTTTTCCCGCCCCCACAAGCATTGAAAAACATTAGCAAACACTGCACAGCCGCAAAGCGACAAGTACCGCACAGTCTTCGACGGTTTGCCTTCGGACGGTGTTTTTTTTTTCCGAACGACGGTTGTCACTTCCAGGTCACCCAGCAAGTGGCCATACTGGAACTTCTCGGGCGTGAATCCTCGATACACAAAGACCTAAGTGGCCAGGGACGTCTTGAACATGGCGATGGTGTATGTTGTTTAACGGAACCACCAGCCAATTTGAGGTTTTGATCTATTTTGCGGGAGTATCTCTCATCTGAAAAGAGAAGGGTACACACAAAACAGGAGCCAGCAAGCGAAAAAACAACGGCAGCTGGGATATACCCACCCACACCACAAGCCACGAGAGACGTGTCTGACATGTTTTGGATCAAACACTGGTCTACAGTAAATAGAAACAAATGACCGAAAAAACACAAACCTACGAAACAACTGGTCTCATAGGTTCTCTACAGTAAACATCCTATGAGAACCTGTAGATCCAACCTGGTGGAGAACCGCAGGTGGAGACTCCGTCACACGTCGGTCTGCCTAACCGGTCGACGGAGTCCAACCGAGTGGCGGAGCCGGAGACCTTGGTCTGACACTGGTTTTTGTGGCTCATCGGCAAGTAGAAGGGCGATGGTGGAGACTCACCTGGGCGATGGTGGAAGGGAAGTACGGTGGGGACTCTGAAGATCGGACTGTCGTGGCTGCAATGATGCCTTCTCTTCCTATAGGAGTAAATAGAGGACATTGACATGAGTAAAATTGAGTAAATAATTGCATAACAAATCCCAGAAATGATGATGCTTTGGATTCTTCAATGTGTTCAATGATGCCTTCTCTCACATGGGTTGTTATATGCTACGATAGTCACATCACATCCCGAATAGGCAAGAACTCTGCTGCTGCTACTCCAGGCTACTCCGAAGGAGGGCTTGCCACTCCAAGTGCCCTGGACCCATTGGGCTGGGAAAAAGGCTGAAGGCGGTCGCATTGTGCGGCTGGATGCTGAAGGTCCTGTGAGAATCCAGCAAAGAAAGCCATCTGTGTAAAGAGATATTGCTTCAAGTTTAAACCTTTGAGCCCTCACCAATATCCATCAATATCCATCAACCGGAGGCTAATTGACTCAGATTAACGCTTTCCAAATCGCAAAAAAAAACACATGGTAATTAACATCAATTGCTTCCAGCATCTTCCCCCCCACTCCCCCCACTCCCCACTTCATCGAAACTCGCCCTCTCCTGTTCGCGGGTCGCTCGGCCACCTCCAGGGTCTTCTGCACGAAGCGCGGCCACATCCGTTGCCGCGAGACTGCGAGGCGCGGCGCCGCGAGACGCTGCGATGTGGACCTGAGGAGATCCGGAGAAACAGAATCAGCAAGGAGCTACTGGGGGCTCCTGGCATCGCTACGTACTAGGAGCAAGGACGCTACTAGCATGAACCCAATAGCCAAAAGGAACCTACTAGTACTACTAGTGATGGTCTCCAAATGGGAGACCATGGGTTGATGATGGGTGCTTCTATGCGGTTTGTGGCGGAAGTTCCTGAGGAGTCCGGAAGAGATCGAGGTTGGATCGATGATGAATGATTGACGGTTATTCAGAGCTATTCATGCATCATAATGAAATATTAGAGAATAATATAGAGATTCTCGTTTTGATGGACTATAGGGATTATAGGGCCATGTCTCCTTTCTTGGCCACGACCCCATATGTGGTGATCTCCACTGTTTGGTCGGCTCCGCGCATGCTTTGAAACATCGATCTGGCTGCCTGCCCAACACGGTTTTTTTCTGATGCCCAAAGAGAACTCCTCTTCACCATCCAATCAATGTCCTTCTGGCCAGTCTCTTTTGGAGTACCCTCCATTAGATTCTGAGCCAATTCGACCAGGATTGGTGGCCCTGAACTTGGAATGCAACCTGACAATGCTTGAGGTTTTGACTCATCCAACAACTTGTCTCCAGGATGAGATATGAATAGATCCCTTGTTGCGTGAACGAGACCAAATGTTCAGCATCACTCCAAAATACACCAGCGTTTTGATCCGTGTTTGGACATTTTATAAGCTTGGAACTCCCAGAAACATACCCACCGCAGTCCACGACTCGACTTGGCACTTACTTCAACAGGCCCTGACCCAAGAGATCCCCCAGCGATCACGGCCAGGTGGTCCTCACCGGTGATCAAAGAGGTTTTCCTTTCGCACCAAAACAAACCAAGCATGTCTGCCCTGCTTCATCCAAGAAACAAGGTTGGAGCATGCAGCTGAAAGCTCTCATGTGCTGAAAAAGGTTGACAAAGGCTTAGCCATAGAAGCAGCATATGGCTGAAGGGCGGGCGACATGCCATCTGTAGGCTCGATTTCTGGAAATGCATCAGGGACACATCCACTTTCGCTCTTTTGCTGATTCCACGTCGTCAGCGTGGCCGAACATCACCAAACAACCGTCATCGTGTTGACCGCTTTTTCAGGGGGGCCCCAAGGAATGGACATCCGCAGGCAGAATCGGCATCGTTGAAGGGGCCCTCTAGAAGGTCGTTCGGTCGTTCGGAACTTCCGTTTTGGGCCCAAAAGGATTGCTGTCCTGCTTTCCAAAGGATATAATATATATAATATCCAATCCATAAGCCACAGCACCAAGAATATCAAAGAATTGCCGTAAGGTATCTGATATATTCTCATACCCTTGGATGACACGCTTGAGCCCAAAAAATCACACGTTCGGCTCGAAGGACCTCGTGACCGAAAGAGACATCCCAGCCAATGGATGACACGCCGGCGACATGCGTTCGAGGTGTGAAATGTAGTACTTGGACTAGGGACTTGGATTAGTCTCCATTTGAGACATCCAACAGGAATCCAACACATGTCCCAAATGTTCTTAGAAACATCATCTTCCCAGTTTCAAATTATTGTTTTTCCGGAAAAGGTCAATCGTATCATGTTACTTCCGCACAAGTGTTCACTCGGTTGCCGGCCTTTTAGGCTGCTGATGCCCTTGTGGATTGGGGCTTGGTGGACTACACTACCAGCGTGGTGGAAGACTGTCAGGCACCTCTCAGTCTATCTATCAGTAATTTGTGTTGTTTTCTCAACAGGCACAATTCACAGAAACGCTGGGTTGACCTAGAGGTGATATCAAGTCTATATAACAGTCTATATATGTCTATATAATCAAATCTCCAACACTCCAACGAACGGAGACTGTACAGATGACGGTTTGTAGATGATATAGTTATAGCTCCAGCATGTATTGACACATCGTTCCAGGATCTTATTGTAGGCAGCACATGCCAAAACTGCAACATCTGGTGCCCTTCCTCCCGACACCCGTTGCAAGCGATCAATTGCACGAATGTTCGTTGCTGGCAAAACTACCCGAAGGGACTAGGAGCTGGTCGGCTTGGGGCTTCCAGCGTTTCATGAGATGCTTTCGAATGTGGTGGGACACTTCCTTCAGCTCGTTGATTCCCAAGAGGGCAGATTGAAGACTGTCAAGGACTCTGCTCTCCAGTTGCTCTCCAAGTCAAAACGCCTGGATTCACGCCAGCCTCCAGCAAAACAGGTAAACCCTGTGGCAAAAGCAGTAAGACCCCAGCGCCCTCCACGGCTCACTGGGTTCTCTACTCAGCTTGAACAAGTTTGGTTCAGCTGGAAAACCTGGGTGTGGAGCAAAAATCGAGGCCTGATCCAAGGATTTGCACAATATCGGTCCATCTTCCCATTTCAGTGGACCCTAGCGGTCCTAGCATTCTTGCGATTCTTGACCCACACCAATCAAGCTCCCAGCAGCTAACATGGAGAAGGAGAAGCATGTCAAGTGGAGCATGCCCCAGCGGCGTACGGTCTATATTAAATCTTCAACTTCAATGCCCTAGAGTGGCCCACGAGAGGTTCCAGTCCTCATGTGAAACAGGTGTATTATGACCTAGACCGGAGGAGACCATAAGGACACAGTACCCATTCACATCCCAACGTCACGTCGCCATGCACACTCTGACCACTCCATGATGCTGAGAGTGAAGCTTTGTGTCTGGCCATCCAGACTCTAAAATCTAAGTTCAGCCACATCCCCGCCTCATTCAGAGGTGCCGAAGATGTGGCTCTGCTCCTTGGTTGGTTGTTGGTCGTTGGTCTTCATTTGGGCCCCAACATCCATAGCTGGTGCCGCTGAAAGCATCTACTTTGGATTGCAACTGGGCACCTCCCAAAAACGAACGCGTGGGATCTGCAACGCTGTACAGACCCTTTTGAAGGGAAGAGCCGGACCCGAACGACATCGAACGACTCTTCATATCGGGTGTTTGTTGGGACGCCGAACGACCTCGTCCCGCACCCGAATGGTTTGGTGCAAGGGAACGGTAGGGAACGGTTTGGACCTGAGTGAGACCAACGAAACCCATGAGTTTCGGTTCGCAGCTTTGGGTTCTAGGCTTTAAAACCCACTCAGAGGCGGACAACTTAGGTGAATCCCCAAGAATGGCCAATCGCTTCGTCGTCGGTCACCAAACAAAGTAAGCTTACATTGAGGACCTCCAGCTGTTCATGAGGCCCGTTGAATGTGGCCAGTGTATGAGTATATGTATGAGCTTATGACCATAACTACGTACTATATATATATATTTACTATAGCCACATTGGATCATAGTGGGAATGCTAGGGAAAAAGGCATCGAATTGGTCAAGCTCTGTCAGTGGTCAGTGGTTCTAGTTGCACAGCAAACAGGGGAGTGAGCAACTCACTAGGGACAGGCAGAAAGTCTTTTTGGTTTGTCTATGTCTATAGATCTATTTCTGGATGATCCACTGTTCTGTTCGTCTGCGCATTCAAAGCTCTTTGAGTGAGAAGTGACCATTGTAGAAACAACCACAAAAAGAAATGGCTGGCCAATGGTTGGCATGGGATTGTGAGGCCTTCATCATCTGCGCAGCAAGGGAAGGAGCTGTCTAACATGCCCGCTTCGCGTACCTTGTACGACAAGCAGCTGTTTGATGCAAGAAAATGCAAGAAGTCTCTGGTCTCAGTCTAATCACCAGGATCTCGAAGTCCAATCAAGCAATGCCGTGGTCGCGTGTCCCACGCATAGCGATTGCCACTGAAATGTTGCAAGGAGTATTTCCCACAGGCCACCTGGCGCTATCGAATTCACCAAGCGGACATTTGTGGGTTGACTACACAAACGATCCTCTTGATATGATCATGATCACGGTTATGCCAACTATGTATAACTAGTTACCATCAAGGAATCACCAAACTCTACCATTGACGGGCACAACTTTGCACACGCTTTGCGTGTACGAAGAGAACGATCTACATCGATCTACCTGTCATTCTACTGGGGCAAAGGGCCGTGTAGTGTACAAACAGAACAATTGATAGCCAAAGAAGCACAGGCAGGCAGCCTACACTCACGAACAGCTAAGGACTGAGGACAGGAGACCTCTGGGTAGACAATCACCTTCTACATCCTTATAACTATCCTTATACAGTACTATCTTCAATCTTCACATGTCTGATTCCTCACTGGCATGGGGAAATCCGCACCACATGTTCCCACCTCCCTGATGCTCTTGCATATCTTCCCTCCAGAGTTTCCACCACTTCACTGTCCACCATCTTACCACCATTCCTACCATGCGATGCACCCACTGGGCACTCCGCACCGGCCGCTCCACCCACCGATGTGGGTCCCGCGGCGATGCCCGCGCCGCTGCGCCACTGGCGGTGGCGCCGCTGAAGGGCCACTGCCGCGGCTGCGCGGGCGAGAGGTCGCTCCACTCCTCGAAGGGATCACCCAACATGTTCAAAAGGAGGGAACAAAAATGTGAGAAAACCATATATATATATATTGTTTCAATCTCTCACAAACATGAATTGTGAGGATATTCCACGAGACTTCCAAAGGGTTGGAAGTTCTTGAGAAGGAGTCATGACATCAAGAATTCCAAATCTGAGCCATAACATCACATAATAACTCGATCTGCTCATTGCATCTTCTGCGTGATTCTGGACCTGTGTCTTGTTCCTTAATAAGTAATTTACCCAAGAAACATCCAAACAGCCACAAGATCCCAGGAGATGTCATCGTGATCGAAACACACGGAGTCCTCGTGGAGTTCTTTGGCCCCAATGCTGGTCTCAGCAAAGATGGGGTCCTTCCCGATCTGATCGGTTCGGAGGAACGCTGGTCCAGCGGGGGCGACGCCGACGCTTTTTCGGCCTGCTGTTCAATGCGTCCCCAAACAGGGGCAACTGAAAGGAGTACCCAAACAGGGGGGAGTATTCTACATATGTTGGGTCCGCATTTAATTTTGCCCTGGCAGACTTGTTGTCAGGAACCAATTCAAATGACTGCTCTTTGAAGACTCTTGATCTTGCTGTGCGGCACCGGTATACCCCTCCGCCAGTGGTCACTGCGCGACACGACCAAAAACGCCACGTCGCCCAGCGGTCCGGTCCTTCAGTGGAAGTCCTGGCCTCCTGAGAGAGCGTCTCCAAAGCTCCCCCTGCCAATTCTGCAGATTCTTTCCCTCTCGCAGCGGCAACGCCGGCACCTGATTCAAGTGGGACAGGTCTGAGCAAGGTCTGAGAAGCCTGAGGAAAGTGTGTGCGTGCGTTTCAAAGGGGTCCTACGTACAGCTCTAATGCAGGGGGCGCAGCTGTTTCCCTAGCGCCAACGAAGCTAATGGGATTCCGCCGCTTCCGGGGATGTGGACGCACGGTCCACTCCTTGCGCTGTACCTGCCGACCTACCGAAAATCCGAACCAAACTAGTCAAGGGCTAGGCCAGCATGGCGAATGCACCCGTGAGTCACTCACTGATCGAATGCTCAACCGGTGGAGCTTTATCATCTAAGTGAAGTCTAAGTGTGTGTTTTTTGATGTGTGTGTGTCTGTCTGTCTGTGTGTCGAATCTGATCGTTTGGTGGAGCGCATAAGCTTTCCAAGCCAATGAACAAAGGGTTGTCATCTGAGATTCATCGGGAGTCTAGCCAGCAAACATTGATGTTGAAAGAATTTCTGCGCCACCACAATTTGTAAGATTTCCTCCTTTACCGGATACCAAGCGTTACGGTGATACAGGGCCCACACCCAAGCGATGCCTGCAGTGGCCCTGTATGGATGTGGGAAGTGGATGTGTCAGCCACCCCACCCCAGGATCAGCATGCCGCATGACCGATTGAGAAGTCTGTTTCGATTCCGCCACCACCACGTCTCCTCCGAACCACCACCGGTTCGGACGACGTTCCGGTCCCGCAGTCAGACGACTTCAGGTCCCATTAGTCGGTCGCTGGGACCGAGGACCAGGGTGGATCTGCACCGAGGTCAGCACAGTCAGGTGAGACCCTTGTTGCATGCGTTGGCCCCCAGTCGACTGGCTGGATCAAGCGAACAGTCCAGGTCAGGAACAACAACCAATTGATCAACCATATACCAGGACATCCAATGGGTGTCCAATGGAGATTTTCTTGAGATGCCTAAGTACAGCAGGGTAGTGCATTCGACACCCATTGGATGGTCCAGGTATATATACATGGTATAAATATCAAAAAATCACATCAATCAGTTTATCAACTAACGACCATCAACCAAGATCTATAGTTGGTTGTTTCAACTCACTTGAACCAATATCGGTCAGTGGGTTCATGCCTTGTGTTCACGGTTGAACATCCAAACTCTCGGACACCACCCAATCAATCATGATCAATTGCCCCGTCCACCACTGACCCGCACAGTCCACCTCCATCCGTATGCTCCCGGATAGGTCGTCGCGCCGCTTGGAGCCGCGCTCCGTTGCTTGGGGCCTCGCAGCGGTCGAGAATTCTCTGGGTGAAACATGCCGCAGCTAGGCCAAGCAGTGGAATCCGCCACCCGACTCAGACTCTTGATTCATATATGCCCCATTATGGAAGGGGTTCTGAACATCAAAAAAGGGTTTATTCATTCAAGACTCCTACATGAGGGATGTCAACCGTAAACATTAGGGATGTCAACCAGGTTTATCAACCTACATTAAGTCAATGACATTCATCAAAAAAGGGATGTCAACCGAAACCATCGAGCAAACCGGGAAAAAAACAAAACGTGTTCACCGCCACAACTGCTCTTTGGACACCTGAAGTCGGTCGAGGTCCTGAAGTCGGTCCCGTCCCCCGGCGACCTCCGGGTGGCCCCGAGTCGCGAGGGAGTGCATCCTTCCAACCAAAGGGGTTTATAATTTATAACTGTTTATAATGAGTTTATATAAGATTATAAGTATATATAAGTGGAAAAAACATGCTATTCCCGGAAGGTTGGGGGGTTCTCTTGCTTCAGTGCACACCCATTTGTGGGAACTGCTGACCGAATCTATGGCTTTGCCTTGGTCCCGGTTCTCCACAAAACCCACCAGGTCGCCAGTGAAATGAAAAAGGTCAACATGTGGGTGCCGTTTTCTGAGGTATCTTTACTTTGATCCCACATCAAGTGGCTATCAGGAACCAACACCAGGAACAAATGTTAATGGAAGAAAATCCTGCAGCACAAATTATTGTAATTACAGGACATTACAGGCAAGAGGGATGTATTACTATAGATTAATATATTGACCATTATGACTATGACTGCTTGGATGGTTCCAACTGATCCCTGCGCTTCCCTCCGAGCTCAGTCGCAAGGTCACCGCCCGCGCACCGCCCGGCGCGGACGCTGCACGGCCCCCGCGGCCACACGTGGCCACGGGCCGCAAGTAGCGGGCGGTCCTGGAGGCGGTGACGGTCACCGGTGTGCTGGGGTCGGGGGCCTGGCGAAGCGATCGAAATTCGTAGATCCATGATGGGATCTGAATCCATATCTAGGGTGTAGCAAAGTAAACCTGTACCCGTTGGCAACCAATGATCACTGCTTTTTGAGAAGGGAACTGAACTGAACCATCATCCACCAAACCTATTGGTCATGGGATATAAATACACTGACTGCCGCAAATTCTATGCAAAGTTTGGACCCTATTCTGGGTAGCCAATACCATCCATGCAGTACCTGATAAGGACTAGTGGCTAGTATTATATATTAGCTAGTAGATTACGACTGACCTCGTGCACCCAGTGGATTGGCGATGAGAATGTCGATCGTCATTGTTTTGCGAGCAGATTCAAAACCTTCCCGAAGGGATCCTGAAAACTAACTAGCCACTTCTCACACATCAAATACTTGTACAAGACAACTGGTAGCCTGGTTTCCAGGAAGTGTCATCCTTCCTCATCCATGCAGATCCAGTGGGGCTGGCCTACCTGCCTCGACCGGTCCTGGGCGTCCTGGGCCAATCTGCCATGGCGGTCTGGAGCCAAATCAGCCAAAGCCAAAGGCACAAATGGCGATCGTGCGGTCGTTGGGCAGTGACAGCGGTTTCTGTTCCTCCCAGCTGACAGGCGGTGTCCAGCAGTTTCTCGTCTCGTGCGGGACACACCCAGGTGGTTCTGTTATATATATATATATATGTCCTTCTCCCGACGCACCCATGAACAACAGGGATCCCTCTTAAAGTACATGTTTTTCAAAAGGGGGAAATCAAAGCAGAGGGACCTTCCAGCCCAATCGTGTGCCTTGCTACAAAGGAATGATGCCCTTTGTCATGTGGGTGATGGTTGGTCAAGCAATTTCTTCACACCAATCAACAGAATCAAACGACAGCACTTGTGGCCGCGTGACACCGAGCTGAAAGCAAGCTGACGATATTTGCCCAGGGCAACATCCAGCAAAACCAAATGCAGCAAATCACCACCCACCTAGTACGAGTACTCTGCCGTCCTCTAGCACGAAAAAGTAAGTAGAGTAATTACATGTAATTACCCATAATATATATATATATATATCCTCATAATATATCCCCTGGATTTGGAGAGTGGTGAATGAAACATGCCGCTTCCACCCATGGGTCGGCTTCAGCAAGCAGGTCGCAAACCCTCGGCTCATCAGTGCCACCAATAGATCCAACTGATCCAGGCTCTGCCGCACTGCCTGGAGCTAAAACAAACCGGTCAAGGTCGGTCGATTTGAAGTTGGATCATGATGGATCAGCCAGCTGATTGAATCTCCCAATTGAACACAATATCAATACCAATTGGCCAGCTGATTGAATCTCCCAATTCAGCACCAATCTCAGAGTTTAGCCTTTGAGTGGCTACTTTGATGCAACATCGGGTCAAATCGAGTCTAAATCCTCGAGGGACCCCGAGCCGATGCGTCACCCAGATGTGCAGAGTTCGGCAATGACTGGGCGCACTCAACAACGGCTTACGACAACACAAGCGACAGTCCGTGCAGAGATAGTAACACATGCATGCCGCATGTGTCTTAAGATATGTCACAGGAAAATGTCTAACATCACTGACTTGCAGTATTTATTAAAACGTATGCCGAATCTACAGTAGTAGTGATTGTGCTGCACCAAATCCCTGCTCACATTCAGGTCCAGCGCGTTTCACCCCCTAAGTTGACCACGGAAGACCGAGCGTTTGGGTGTTCATATGTGTTCATCAATCCCCAGCAATTCGCTTCCAAGATACGGACAAGTGCTGCTTGAGGAGGGGGTCTGATGACTCATGGACTCATGGGTCCATGGCTTGGGATCAATACGTACAAACTACAGTTTGGGGCGGCAGGTGATCTTCCTCTAAGAAGCCAGGCCATGTCCCCTTTCTGATGCTGGACTTGATCCGTTCCCCCCCCCAAAAAAGACTTTTATGACATGGAACTATGGAACATTGACCTGTTGTGCCATGTTCATCCGCTTCCCCTTCCACACCATCTGGGTTTCTTCAAGGCAGTTTACAGTCTACACCAGGTCAAGCCAAGAGCAGGGAGCCTCCTGGAAATGTGTTGGGCCACTCAACGCATGAGTTTGCCATTTTTGCAGCAGTGTTTACACCAACAGCACGGCTCCAGCGGAATCCCAAAGATATTGATATCTTTGGGCCATGTTCTCAGTCGACCTCACTTGTCCTCTGCAGTCAAGTGGCATCAACTGAGATATGGAGGCAACAAAGCGCTGACCTGTGACCGAAGCGTTGCGGGGGCTTGACTTGCACCGCTAGAGACATCTCTGCCGATAATCACATCACTCTGAGCTAGTCCCAGCTCCAAGTCTTACGCTACGCTACCGTAACTTACGCCAACCCGTTTTTTTTGGGCATCTCAGAATCGCATCCGTCTCTCCCAAACGTCCAACACAGGCTTTCCAGGTCGCCAGATCGGTGTCTCTCCCTGTCCGTGCCCAACAGATTGATGATCGATGTCCCATGTAATTAATGCTGATCCGAGAATCATTCCTTTTTCTCCCTTCTCCTCACATTCTCCTCACCCACCGATCAATTAATTTTTCCATATTTTCCCGCCTTTCCCATGCGAAGATTCCGACATTCACTGAATTCATGCATCCTTCCTTCTCTCCCTTCCTTGTCCAACTCATCTCAGCTATCCTCACCTTGTCACCCTGTTGCTGCTGACCCCAGCCCCCGAAGGTCACGAACTCCTCCGCGATGGTCGGGTGGATCGCCACAGAGGCCTCCATCGGCGCATAGCGGTGCATGGTCATCCCATCCGAGGCAGCCATGGTCAAGTTGGACCGATGCACGAGTTATCCCATGGGTGGTGAGGTCTTTTTTTCGCCAGTCAAATGCAGGGTGACAAGTGGCGAGAGTCAGTCTGAAAACCCACAATCCATTCAATCCATTGGAGAGTATCTTGACGTCACCTCCATTGGAGAGTATCCGAAAAAGAAATGCAAAGAGTTCTTTGCATCATCGATAAGGACCGTCTCTGGGGTCTATTTTGCCCGAAACGAACACCTGGAGTGTGACTCTGCGAGCTGACTAAAATACGTGGCCCATAACTGATGACACCATCGCCAAGACCGTCAGGACTGGAATGGGGGGTCCAGGTCAGGATTCCAAACGGGGTCTAGGACCAAGATTGAACCCCTACCAGTAAGGAGCACCTAAACAAACCCCCTAAATAGATACTGTATAATTTTAATAAAAAGTAGATCCCCACTAAAAAATGAATTATACCAGCGTTGACCCCAAACAGTTTGTTTGGTCCAGGTCCAAGTCCAGACAATCATGCGGCCACAACACCCACAAAGGACTGGAGACAGTGGGAGACAAGTGGGAGGCAAGTGTAAAATCATGCGGCCAAAGCACCTACATGAGACTGGAGACAATGGGAAACAAGTAGGAGACAAGTGTAAAATCATGTGGCCAAAGCACCCACAGCGAACTGGAGACAGTGGGGCACAAGTGGGAGACAAATGGGAGACAAGTGTAAAATCATGCGGCCAAAGCACCACAAGCGAGTGAAAAAAAGTGTGAAACAAAAGAGAGACAAGTGTAAAAATCATGCGGCCAAAGCACCCACAGGAGACTGGAGACAGTGGGGCACAAGTGGGAGACAAATGGGAGACGTAAAATCATGCGGCCAAAGCACCCACAAGCGAGTGGAGACAGTGGGAGACACAGCAACCAGGAACGCAAGCCCGGAGACAAATGTAAAATCATGGGGCCCGGTCATGGACCCCTTTCAAAGGAGTAAGAACCCCTCACAGGTAAACCTGTTTGGGGAATTAGACACCATTATTCGGGGACCACTATACTCACGCGATGTTGAGATAGGAACCATCTCTGGTCCAAGCTCCAAGAGCCGGCCCCTGTGTCACTCCGGGAAACCCCGTGGAACAAAAAAGATCACAAAAACAAACCAAAGGAAGCAGTGTTTCAAGTGGGCCAACACCCAACCCACTTCAGTCCGACTGTCCGGTTCCAGGTGGCCTCGAAGTCTGCGCGGGTGGCGCCCATCCGCACGGCCACCGCGAAGCCTTGCATCATCTCATCCTGAGGGTCGGAGGAGGAGGCGACGGCGAACCACCGAAGGTCCGACGCGGCCGGCCGACATGACGAGTGGCATCCAGTCGGGGCAGTGGTTTCCCCATTCTTGTTGATTGAACCTGCCTTATTCAGCGGCGGTGACAAAGAAGAGGGATCGGATCTGTGCAATATCCAGTGGTTTCTTGACTGTTATCTTCCTTTACCAGGATGTTGGAAAGACCTCTTGCTTGAGACAATTCTGGAAACATGACATAGACATAGACTTCTCATGGGGACAAATTCGATCAATTCAAGATGTCAATGCATATAAGACAAACCCCAGGTGCCAAGAATATCTGGCTATGTCGGTAAGGTAAGGTACCCACTTTTCATGGGTCGGTAGAAGGCGAAGCTGCAGGGGTTCCCACCACGGAACGCGGTGAAGAGAGCAGAAGAAAGGCGGTCCACGGGCGGACAGCGACATGTCATTTCACCCATCCTGTCACCACGGTACCAGTTACAGTGGTTCTTTACTTTCGACCATTCCGTACTCAGTGTCATCGGGACCAGGACATGCTGGTGGCGTTCACCCTGCACGTCCAACTCGGCCACTTCCGGGCCAAAAGGTGAGACCGGGGGAATCCAAACTCTCCGTGCTACACCACCTGTGGTGCTGAGAACAAAACACGTTCCTTGGTCCCTAGGATCCGAAAAGGACATGTTTGTTTCAAGCTTCCATGGTCCTGAAATCCAAGTCTCCGAGGAAGGACCGATGCAGTGCAGCCCCACGATCCGCTCCTCCCACCCGCAGGACCCATCGCGCTGGGCGCTCCCTAAACGGGCGGCGGCTCACCGGGCCGGTGTCGGGAAAACATGACAAGCTACGCACCTGACAGATCCTGACGTACGTTGAACCCTGAAAGTGGGCCTGAACGGCCATCTATGGGGGCTAAACCACACTGAAGAACAAGCCACCTCGCGATCCATCAGACGGTTCATCGGATCCATTGGATCCATCGGATCCCCAAAGCCACGAGTGGCCGAGTGGATGGTTCATGCGTGGTTGACCATAGCCAGGTTTCACAACAATAACTACCCCAAAATAGATAGAAATGGTGTCCAACACACTTTAGGTGGGGTATCTCTCTATATATATATACTTAATATATATATATATATCTATTTGGGGATCTACTTACAAGAATAAAGGATACAGCAATACATGAACAACCATGTCCTTCTTTGACTGAAAACCTCGACTTGTTACGCGGAGCGTGAAAACCGTCCTCTGGAAGCTTCAACACCAACTTCAACGCTGTCTTCACCTGGCTTCAACGGCGAAAAGGTCATCGTGCTTCATCGGCTCAAAGTTGGCTAAGTGTGGTACACTCTTTACGGAAATGATCGGCATGGCATGCCAATCCATCGCGTCGATTGTGCATTTCTATCATTTTTTTATGCAAAGCATAGAAGCTTAAACCCAGGGGGGCTCAGCCAATATGTAGAGTCTTAAGTGGATTCTATTTTGCAGCTGCAGCTGCACCTCTGCTGCTCCCAGGATCCGGCCTTTTTGTCATCATCGTTGAAGGCATACCTCAGCAAAAACTTGTCCCGTAGTTGACAAATCAATGGTTCTATTCAATTTTAGTGTAATAAATACAAAGGAACATAAAGGACTTCAAAACAAGGTCCCCCAATTCTCAAGATTCTGCACACCACCGTTCAGCGATTCGAACATGTCACGTGTCATGACTTGGTCAGCCTCTTGGCGGATCGCTCGAGCTTTGATGGGCAAGTGCTGGAAAGGCCCTCTTGGAATCTCTTGGATGTGGAGGTGAAAAGCAGGAGAATCCAAACATGACGATCACGAATCGCAAATAAGCTGAGGCAAAGCTGAAAAATCTGTGGAATTTGCATGGACATAGATCGACCAACAGCCACCCAACTATCACCTTCATGAAGGGTAAGATACATAGTGACATAGCCGCATGTGATGCTGAAAGGTTCTCTCCGACCACCCCAAAACACCCCAAAAACACACCGAGGTGCAGCATGCTCGCGAAGCGGGACTGCTTCACCTTGATGTTCTCCTTTCCACCCATCCCGACCCATCCCGACCCCGTCAGACCCCGGTCAGACCCCTTCGGACGGCGCACAACACCCTCGTGGTCTCGGGCTCCGTTGGGGGAGCCCAGTCCGTTACCGAAGCACTGAAGTCGTCCGCGAAGCCCGGATGGATGTGACCCATCGATGAATTGGTCCTCTCCGAGGTGTTTACCAACCAATCTGATCCGATCAAATCCACAAAGGGTGAAAACTGAAGGTACAATTGAAAAAACAACATGTTTGACACAGAGTGAGTGACCGGTTGGGACAACAATATAAAAAAGTAAAAGAAAAAAACGGCACGCCCGGCACGCACACACGCACACACACTTTCCTTATACATCCTTATACCGTTGTTTTACCGTACACTTGTTTGCGTTGCAGTCCAAGTGGATATTCTTGGCTATACGAAGGGATTGGACCTTGCGATGCCTGAGATGCGTCGGAGCATCGCCGGAACGCCAGCTTATGGAGCCGCTCCGCCGACCCAACTTGGTCCAACGGTGAACCTGAAGTCCACGTCTACAAAATAGTCCACCGATGTCTATGTGTTTGTTCCTTTTTATAGTATATATTTATTGTGTTTAGATGTTCTTAGTAATACGTTACACATCACAATCATTCCTCCAATGATCCCTCCAATATTACACTGCCGTTTGGATCCGCCCTTCTTCGTCGACGCCGTGCCTCGCCGAACTCCGCCTTCGCCTGTGGCTCCGTCAGGCCGATGCAACCGATGGGCGGGTGGCTGAAGACCACCTAGGCCGCTGGTCGCGGTGTCAGTCCCTGCCGGTGAAAAACACGAAGAACGGTGACATGGATCTATGACTTTGCCCAGGAAATGCATATGACACAGGTGATTTGAGGAGGTTTTGGAGGGTGAAACATGGTGAAACATCGTGACATGTTAGGAATCAGTCAGACGTCTCATCAGGGGGGTGGTTCCTCATGTCACGAGTTTCACCCTTTCTTGGGGTCGGTCGAACACCCATGGCCACGAGGGTCGAACACCGGCCAAACGTGCCATGCTGCCGTGGCAATGAGCTCGTAGGCGATCCGAGCGCGGCCTCGGCCGAGGCTTCAGGGGCTTCGGGTTGCGAGCAGCCGATGGTCGGAGTGGAGCTATAGCTATAGCTATAGCTATGCTAGATATGTTATTGGTTGTTCTAATGTGTATTGTCTATTGTTATATCTGAGCGAACGTCAAAAGCTATGTGCCAAAAAAACTGCATATGTTGGTATTATGTTTGTGTTTTTCGCTATATCGCTTTACAGTGTTTTTGGTGCCTGTTTCAATTTCACACATGGATATGGGTAGAGGTGAAGTAAAAAGAGCAAAACACAAAATCCATTCACACGGTAGCCCTACTGCCTCCCAGCAATTTTCTAGAGGTCTTCGTCTGTGGCAAAAAGTGCATGGTATTGCTTTGGTATCGTGTTATTATGTGTATATATATATACAAAGCGGAAATTGCAAAGCCAAAAAAATAACGTAAAGGACATTGAATGAAATGAGGGTATTGTTTCTGGTTGTTTTTGGATGTTCACTATATCGGTTTACTGGATTCCCTCATGATTTCTATGCAACACTTGCTCTTACATAAAGATTTGTGACCGGACCCTTTGGGCTGTTGTTCATCTATCATATAGATCATATATATATATTTTTTTTTTTAATATTCACCGTAGCTAAAGGCATGTTCACTATTTTGTTCAACTCCTTTCTGTTTTGAGATACAGTAGACCTTCCGGCCAATCCCAATCGCAAACTCTGAACGAAAGCGCTGTGCCGACTTCATGAACACATGTGAGCATTGCTTAAGAACTTCACTACATCTGATAGTTCTTTCTCTTTCCCCTTTTCTTATCTAAGCCTCTCTCTTCTGTCTCTTGTTCTCTTTTTTCTTCTTCTTCTTCTTCCTCCTCCTCCTCCTCCTCTTCTTCTTCTTTCTCTTGCTCTCTTTCTTCTTCTTCTCCTTCTACTTCTTTCTTTTGCTATCTTTTTCTTCTTCTTCGTTTCTCTCTTGGTTTGTTTCTTTGTTTTTTTGTGTGTTTTATGTTTATTTTCTCTCTCTCTCTTTCTCTCTGTCAAATGACTTATGCCTTATGCGCGTCAACCATCACCCCCATGGCAGAACTGATCCGCCTACTTTCGTTCCGCTCGAACCCAGTGATGATGGAGGGTCCCATACTATGAGTTTCCATGTTCATCTGCCGGAAGCATCGCCGCCGAAACGAACCGGACCGCACGACGCTTAACGCTCCGCCAAGGTGCCCTCCTTGAGGAAGAGCCGATCCGCCAAGCGCCGCCCGGCCGCGATGGCCACTGGGGTGAGCTCGTAGCCCGTGGAGGTGACCTATGGAGCGGTCACCATCAGGTGCTCGTAGCCCGTGCCGTGACCGGCCGTGAACGTTTTTTCCAGAAAAAGGAGGGAGAAGAAGGGTGAGACGGACCCAAGGGTGAGACGCATCCGACGCCAGCGTGATTTGGGATGTGTTCTTTTTGTCTTTTTGGTGGGCAGGGGATCCAAGAATGCATGTGTCTTTGTTGTTGTTGTTGTTGCAAAGTAATCTGCCTCCCAATAAGTACCAAAAACAAGAAGAACATGGTCATGAAGCAGAAGGAACATCGTTCTACTAGGAACACAACCCCATTACAGCCTGTAACTTATCCACGATCATCCATAATCCAAAAGGAGCAAAACACATCAGCTTCAAAACATCCATGTCCTGCATGAATGTGTCAAAACCAAAGGGACCCTGGTTCACACAGAGACTGAGGATGTCAACCTGCGAACCTGCCATGGGTTCGAGAAGGCTGAACCCACAGCCTCCAGATTTGCTCCAGATCACCCACTGTACGTAATGATGAAGGTTCGAACAAGAATCCAAATTACTGCAAAGTAAACAGGTGAGTTGCGACTTGGAGAGATTTGATCAAAATCCCTGGGGAGTTGCCACTTTGTGACGTCTTCAAACGTCCATGAACATCCCGAAATAAGGTCCACATATAACTATATATAACCAATGAAAAATAATGATAATTGCACTGGTAACCTTGACAATCCTTGGAACAGGTGTATGAAGTCACTCCTGTACAATGCAGTCACTTCAATGCAGTCACTTCGTGGGAGGCCGTGCAATGAAGTCACTTCACCGGGGCCCCGCACGTCGCCAATCGCATAGATTCCTGCAGTTCTGGGCGAGCAGCTCCAGCACAACACAGGTCCATGAAACCCAATGTCCGAAGGATTTTTCAGTATCTTATAGCAACCTGGGGAGATAAACACATCGACAAACAACACTTCAATCTCCTCCAGCGTCCAGCATCTCCGTTCCCTTTGGGATTTGGAGTTTGTTCGTCTCCGCCCGCGGTTCTTTGATTCTGTGACGCATCTGATCTCGAAGTGGAGAAGTTTGCTCTCCCAATTGCTTCGCACCGGGCCGTAGCACCACAGAAGCGGCGTCCGCAACTCCCGTTATTCATACGCCATTCGCACGTCTTCAACCGTTATTCACAGCTCCCCAAAGCAACTCGCCCAATTAAACTCCTAGTCCCAACTTTGTCCCTCCAAATAAACGCACAACCTGTACACGGTGAGCCTCACCACCTGCAGAAAACCAGCGCAAACCTTCAATGATTCCGACAACCAGCGCTGGTCCCTTCGTCTCCTGGCACGTTGGTGTTCTCAAAGGCATCCACAACAATGTGTCCTGCCCCACTGGTGGTTTTTGTGCTGGACTGCGTCCGAGCAAGTCCGAGAAGCAGCATGCCACAACTCGGGTATATCATGCATCACCAGCAGCATCCAGTATACGCGTGAAATACGTATATCTCACTCGTTAAAAGAGCCTTTTCCCCCACAAAAACAAATGTTAACCAACGATATCCAACGATGAGTCATAGTATTGGGACAAACCTGACCTCGATGGGTGGATCATGATACATCTCGTTGGATGCTCTTTTTTTGGACAGTGTCATTTTGGTTTGGGTGTCCAGATCAAAACCAACATAAGAATAGATCGTTCAAAACTGTCTTCCCACTCTTCTGCATCCTAAATCAGCCCATTTGCATTCTTATGGCGTGTTGGTTTCACCACCTTTCTGTTGCTACCTGTCAACAGAATTTGCCTGTTGAGATTATTGTATCTGTATATGGTTGTTGTTGTGATCTTGGTCAGTGTTCTCCATGCTCAGATCATGTCTCAAACACTGCATGATTGAAATATATGCTTGCATTGACCCCAACGTAGGCAAATATGCCATGCCATACATGGAGTGTCTGGGTTTGGCTTTGGCTGTGTGGTTCTTCTTGTCATCACAATATGTGCACTCCCTGCGGCCAACATAGCACGCATGTGGGAAGATTGTCCAATCCCGATTCAACAACCATATTCTGGGTTGCTCTGTTTGTTTGGGGCGGATGTCTTGAGCTTTGCAATGGTCTTTGCTTGTGACCCGATGACTTTCTGTTCTTTGCTGTTCCCTCCCTCCGCTTTCAAACGGATGAGCCCATGACTTTCAGAAGGGCCGCGCTAGGACGGTCCAGCCTCCGGGCCGAGCTCCACGGCCCGTCACACACGGGCGAGCTCCAGCCGTCCTGACTTGTTGAGCTCCACGCCCGTGTTCTGCAATCCCAAGCGGTCCTTGGGGCAACGTACGGACGCGGAACATCGGCAGAACACCCAGAAGAGTGTCATATCGTTTAACTTAACCAAACATGTTCTCATTTTGCCACTGAGTGTTGTTGCCTGAACACATCGAAATACACAGTTGTGTGAAGCCTTGCTTCGGAGCAACACGCTAAAACAGCAACACGTATTTCAGACTTCAGGGCATATCCATGTGTTTCGTCTATGTCGAGCAGGGATTGTGGGATTGTGTTGGATGCAACAGAGTCTACGAAGTCAGCTCCTGTGCTTCGTGCTCTCTCACCAAACAAGAGTTGACTCCTCATTTATAACTGATTGTATTACGTCGTAAGGTTTCCCCAAATGCAACAAAAATGTCAATCACTGACTGACTGCTTAATGCTTTGTGGTAGCAAGCAACATATAAAATAACATGACCCTTTGATGTTGAAACATCACGATCACGCGGATGATGATCACGCGGACACAATCTCTTCTTCCAAAGCACTGACACCGGCTTGCGGCCAATTGCCAGCAGAATGCAATCCTCGGCACAGAAAATTAAGCATCAAATCGAAGAAACGACTACGTACGAGTACCAAACATCCATGGAGATTCATGGGGGACTCTGGCAAACATGTGCTACAACTCACTGTGGCGCTTCCTGATCCGAACTGGCAAACAAACCAGCACAATCAGCTCAGAAGGATCGAGAGTGTAAATCGTTCATTTCAGGGGTGATCAATGGTGATTGCCAGTTAGCGTTACTTGGCGCCCCCAAATCCCATACTTCCAAAGTAAACTCCTCAACGCGAAAAAGCGGCGAAATCCTTCAAGATTGCCTCCTCGCCCATCGGCCCTTCCGTCGCAACGTAGGTGAGACGCCCATCGTCCTGTTTGCCTCCGCTGGTTTTCAGGCGGAGGAAGGTCGGAGTCCATGCTGTCCATGTTGGTGGGTCCAGGGTCTCGCAAGAGATTCGGCAAATCAAATGTTCCAAGCATCCTTGTCATGCAGATTCATGCGCAATGCATCTTGTCATGCACGTCTACTTCAAGTGACTTATCACAAAATGTTCAGTGACACTGTGATGAGATGTTTCCAAACTAAATCATTTAGCAACATAATCAGAACAGGGTTGCTTCAAACGTATGTGAAAAAAAACAAGATCTTGAATAGACACCGGTGATCCCTGAAAAAGATCATTCTCCCTGGGAAAATCAAAGGATTTTCTAAGAATGGTTTTTGAGTAGAGCAATCTGAAGCAGAGCCCTTCTGAAGCAGGTTCACTCGCTACCCTAAGACATCCTAAGATTAAAGAATGACCTAGCCCAACCCAAATTCGCCAAGCAACTGATTCGTGCGGGCGTGCTGGTTCCTGGGGGGGCCGGCGGGAAAGAGACTCGATCTCAACCCTCCAGGGTGATGGTTGGGAACAGGCACCAGTCTGGGCCCTCCGATTGCACCCACAGACGTGCAGGAGGGTGCCTTTGAGAAGGTCTTGGTGCAATGGACGTCGAATGAAAACTGCAGATCCGCAGAGGATGAAAAGCACAAATCAAGAAGTGTACAACTTGAAGCCGCTTTTGTGCTCGAAAAAGAGCGTGCGAGGTCAACAGGTTATGAGCCCAACCTTGCGCTAGGCGAGGTGAGGTGTAAGCCCTGCACGAGCCGCAGGCCGCCCCGCGACGCCATGTCGATCCAGCGCCGCAGACGGCAAAGGCCAGGCGAAGAGGAGCCCGAGCCGGCGGTGCAGCTGGTCATCAAGGACGAGACGGACTTGGAGGCTGGTGATGAAGGGCCGAAAGGCCCACCGATTGCGCTGTTTCTGGGGGGTGCCTCTGTTCGAGGAGTACGTCCTTTCAGGCCAACCACATCACCTACGAGTACCAGCAGAGCTTCGCAAAGGAGAACTTGTGGCTGGTGCGCCGACGAGATTCAGAAGATGGGGCGAAGGTCGAAGGGCTGGCTCTCGTCTACGTGGACGATGTTATGCTGTTTGGCCCCAAAGACATTGTGGAAGGAGGACTTCAGAGCTTCCGAAAAACATGGGAGACCTCAGAACCTACGTGGGTTGGAGAGGCCGAACCGGTGCGCTACTGTGGCATGGAACTGAGACTTCTTTGCCAATCAATCTTCCTACTTGCGGGAAGTGGTTCGACGTCATGGCATGGAGGACCTCAACAGCGCTCAGATGATGAAGGAATCCCAAGAACCTGAAGATGAACTAGATCGGACGCCTGCGCAGGTGAAAGAAGCCCAACAGCTTGGGGGTGAGTTGGCAACATAGACAAGACCAGACATCGCCTACGTGGTGAGCAGGATTTGCTCAGCAACCAGCCGAGCACCAAAATGGGCAGTCCAAACTGCACACCAGCTCATCAAGCACCTCAATGCAACGCAAGGGCTGGGTTTGTGGTACAGGCGGGACGCCAACCTCATCCTGGAGTCAGTCAGTGATGCCTCGTTGCCCCAGGAGGAGCACACAGCCATGGATGCGTGATCACCGCTTTGGGCGGAGCACCCGTGGCATGGAAAAGCTGCAGACAGCGATTCCCAGCGCTCTCAACCGCAGAAGCTGAGTTGATCAAAGTCATCGAGGCGGTGGTGGTCGGCGATAGCATAGTAGCATGCTTGGTCGATGAGATGGCCATGGACATCCCGAAGTTCCTCAAGTGTGACAACACCGCAGCAGTGTCGATAGCAAACTGCGCTACAGGGGCTTGGCGTACCAGACATCTGAAGGTACGTGCTGCTCACTTGAGGTGGAGGATCCAGTCGGGCCAATGGGAGCTGAAGTACCAACCAGGACGCGAGCTCATTGCCGACATCGGGACCAAGGCCCTACCTATTGCTAGACTCAATGAGTTGAGGCAAAGGATGGGAATGTCATGGTAGCCCAACTCGGTTGACGAGGTCCACGAAGAAGACAAGGGAATTGTCGCTCCTCAAGCCATGAAGCTGGTGGCGAAGTACCACTTGGAGAAGGCAATGAGGATTGTGGTGGTGCTCTCCGCGTTGCAGGAAGTCCACGGGGCAATGGCTGAAAATGTCACCAAGGAGGTGGATGAGAACATGGAGGGCGACCAAATACTGTACCTCCTCAGCGTCATGATGATGTTGCTGGGAATGGTACTCATGAAGGTTGCTGGGAATGGTACTCATGAAGGTCCTCCAGAATTAAGTGTCGGAACCGATGGAAGTCATGGGATGAGGAAGAGTCCATTGCTGTGAGGTCCGTGAGGGCGCAGTCAGCTGGGTCTTCATCGCTGTCGAGACCTACGGCACTGGGAAGGGACGCCACTTCGTCCGGGTCAAGGACAAGGGATCGAATTGAGGGTCCAACTTCATCAATGTCGACTGTCGAGATCATGGCATTGGAAGGAAGCGGGGCTCCATCGATCACAAGGCCAACGGCTCGATCAAGAGGTCCTTCAACGGCATCATCAATGGAGTCCGTGAGTTCAACAGAGGCACAAAGGAGGGCATGGGTGCGCTCTTTGGATGCCCAGTTGATCGAGAATGACAGATGGTGATCGACGATCTCAAAGGCCAGATGCAGCTGAACCTCAAGAGGAACCTCCGAATCAGACAGATGAGCACTGTGTGATCTCGCTCACTGGCACGAGAAGGTTCAGAGCAGAACCTGCATGGGAGGCGTGGTTTGCTGAGAGCGGGCAATGCTTTCATCGACGAGAAGACTGCCGTGGCTTGCGAAATGCAAATCGCAAGCAGGTCAAGGCCATCTGCGGCGCATGCCAGTGCTCGACGCAGCAGCAGAGGCCATACTGCCAGACCACCTACCTCTATAGAGGGCCAGGTGGCGAATCTTCACACCGACCCGAAGTGTGGAGCTGTCACCGGCACAATGCTGGAAATCCGGCAGTGCAAGGTGTGTGGAACAGCGGCTTGAGCACGAGGCCGGTCTTTTCAGAGCTGCTCGAAATGAGCAGGGAGGAGTGCAGATCCGCAAAGGAACGCACAAATCAAGAAGTGTACAACTTGAAGCCGCTTTTGTGCTCGAAACAGAGCGTGCGAGTCACCAAAAACAATTCAAACTCCCAACGGATCCTACAATCAAGTCAAAAAGAGGTCCCACCTCCAACTTTGATGGTGTTAGAGCCTAAGCCTGAAGCCTGGCCCATGCACAACACGTCTCAATGGACGTTTATATAGTTTTGCTGTGTTTGGGGAGGGGCTTCGTTTCTGATTTAAGTTTTTTTGTTGTTTTTATGTAGTTATATGCAGTCACCCTCCAAGTTCAAAATTGGTAGGGTAGAACACCTCTGATAAGGGACAACCTCATTTCCAGGCCGGCATGAGCTAATCCACACCACTGCTAAATGAAACAAATACATGTAAATCCCGAGCCCCCATTCAAGTTTGCTGGTATATAATTCCGTGGGGTCGTTCACATGTTCTTGCTGATCCGTTGTCGATGAATCAAGTGGCTTGCTTTTGAAGGCTTCAAGTCCAACAACCAAAGCATCGATGCAGGTTGGTACACGGGCACCTCAATGCATCCAAAATCGTCCAAACAAACCAAGTCCGACCACATCATTGGTTGGTGCCGGGCAATCTTCCAAAAAATAGAGTGATGTGAAGCCTAACACTTCCAACTTGGAAACATGGCTCACCTCCACGTCAGTTGAGACAAGTCTCTGTGGAGGACTGGGCCATGATGCTCCATGGCCTCCGCTGCAAAGCATCATCTCTGGAGTCTCGGCTTGATTTTGTTAGGCTTGACCCTGCCCTACACATGAGTCCCAGCCACTTGGAGCTGGCAACAATGGTGGGACAAGCACGCGGGAATCGGAGCTTGAACCAAGCGCATCAAAAGGAGAGCACGTGTCATCATTGTTTGACATCGCAACGTTGAGGCAACCGCTCTCGAAGTAGTGCTGTGTCACACGACGCATGTCAGATTATCTGTGCTCGAGCGTGTCAAATGGGTCGCACTGTTGCGTCCTTCCCGGAACTGGCTGCGCACCTGCGGTCCGACCTACAGGTGGGAAACCAAAGCTAAAAGCCTGGACTTGACAACTCTCTGCACTATATAGTCACTAGTCACTAGATGTCACTAGTCACTAGTCAGCTTCAATGTGGTAATATGACTCTCAGAGCACTTCTGAACTACCCCAGCATCTCTGCCCCCATCAGGATTCTTGGGGCGCTGTATCAGAACATGTTCAAGGAATCAAGGACCACCGTCGAAGCCTGTCCTGATATGTCTATCTAAATATAGATATATAACTGTATATACTTATAAACCTTGAATAAACACTGCAACCCTCCATCAGCGATTCTGCAAAACCTGGCGTGCACTCATCAACCAATGAGGTAACAAAGTCTGAAGAGTTTCCTCCCTCAGGTCGATCTTAAATGGATCTCGAGACAAACACAGGGACGACATCTTGCCCAGTCAGGTGGCGTGGTACATCTCTTTATGGGGAAGAATCCACACAACTTAATCCCTTCATGGGAACTGAAAACGAACCAACGGATTTCAACTGAAATCAACATGCATTCAAGCAGGATCTATACCACAAAAAACAAATATATCGTGATTTCAACGGAATCAGGGCAAGATCAAGAGAACTTATATAAAGGATACATCAAAGAACTTCAAAGGAATATACAGTCAGTACAGTAGTTAAACTGGACACAAAGCAAAACCAAATGCAGCAATGTGTTTCTGTTTGGTGGGTTCTCAAAGGATGGACCAGATTAATTGGCAACATGCTTACATGTTTTTACCTTTATGAGGTTTGACCATATGAACATTTGGATACTATACTCAAGAAAATGGGCTTTGTCGGGGTGGTCTTAGGGGATCTGGACAATTAGAGGTTCTTCTGTGAATCAATCGTGAAATTCCCTTAGCAACTGAGACTGAAACAGGCATGAGGTGAAAAAAGGAACTTGGCCAATGAATCTACAAATAGGGTGAAGGATTCCGTTCTTTTCTTTCCGGCTTGACAAAGAGGGTGAAGGATTGGTGAAATGTGGTTTGAACAAAGGCACAACATATATATATATATAGTATATATATATATTATATGGTGCCCCCAAAAAAAGAACCTACCCAAACTCATATTTCACTGATATTTACAGTAAAAAATGCATATTTTGGGCACCGTTTTTTTCTGAGTAAAAAATAAAGGTTGAACATATATTTTATATAAATTTCACATATGTTTGTAAATTATAAAATTAAAAAAATAGATAGATTGCATACTCAGCCCCCACCGCAGCCTTAACCTGAGGAGATGAAGATGAATTATATGAATAAAACATTAAACTAAATCAAATAATATGTAAAATAGTCTCCATACGCAATAAAGTAGGCTCACTGCGTACATTTACTAATCACAGACTGCCAAAACAAAAAAAAAAAAAAAAAACTCTGAGGAGAATCTTTGGTTTCAGCCTGAAAGATGTTTTTTGGTGTTCATTGATTTTTTTTGGTTTCATTCATCAAAAAAACAAAAAAAACACAAGGTTCTTTTTTGTTTTCTTTGGTCTATACAATCACCAATGCCCAAAAACAAAAAAAACACAATGTTGTTTTTTGGTTGTTCAATAAAACATATGCAAACAACAAAAGAAACCTTGTGGTTTCTTAGTTTTTTGTGATTCCAGGTTGCATAGACCAAAGCAAAAACCAAAAAAAAATAATGAAAACAAAAAAAACAAACATCTTTCAGGCTGAAACCAAAGATTCTCCTCAGAGTTTTGTTTTTCTGTTTTTTTGGTTTTGATGTTGTTTTGGGTTTGGCTCTAAGTTCGACTTACTACTATCACCGCAGCTGTTTTTTCCAAACAGAGTTATTTTTTTCTGCGCGCGATGGTCTGCAAGCAATGTCCGGTTTGCCAGAAACTTTATAACAGTTTATTTTGACAATCTAACACCTATATTTCCAGATGAAAAAAAATAACCTAGAAATTGAAGGGGCAGGTAAGCAAAATTTGAGTTGTAGGTTAATAGATATAGTCGCACCTATTGGAAAAGGTCAAAGAAGCTTAATTGTTGCTCCCCCAAGAAGCGGAAAAACTATGTTGATGAAAACATTAATTAATGCTATTTCAAATCACCCAGAAATGTTTGAAGAAGTAAGTGATATACAAAAAGCTGTAAAAGGAGAAGTTGTAAGTTCAACGTTTGATGAGCCTGCTTCAAGACATGTGCAATTAGCTGATTAAAGAGCAAAACGGTTAGTAGAACAAAAAAAGATGTAGTAATATTTCCAGACTCTATAACAAGACTTGCAAGAGCACATAATACTGTTGCACCATCATCTGGCAAAGTTTTATCTGGAGGTGTAGATTCTAACGCACTTCATATTCCAAAACGATTTTTTGGTGCTGCTCGCAATATAGAAAATGGCGGATCGCTAACCATAATAGCAAGTGCTTCAATAGAAACAGGATCTAGAATGGATGAAGTAATTTTTGAAGAATTTAAAGGTACTGGAAACTCAGAAATAGTGCTAGACAGAAGAGTTGCAAAGAAAAAACTATTCCCAGCAAGAGATATAAGTAAATCTGGGACAAGAAGATAATATTTATTGTTATCTTCTAATGCCCTAAATAAAATGTGGGTAATAAATAACATGCTACATTCAATAAATACCAATGAGCAAACATAGTTTTTAATATCTAAGCTTAAACATACTGAAACTAACAGTGATGTTTTCAACTATATGAACTCAAACACTTAAAACGTAAAAAAATGTGCAAATCTAAATGTAGATAAATGCCTAAATGTAGAAAAATATATGAGTTAATTTATTAAGACAAATAGACTAAAGCATATTAATGATGTATTATCTAAAAGCGCATACATTAACAATCAGATAAACTTAAAACTCAATCACTAAATTATCATGCTAGCAATTATTCTATCTTGAGGAAAGCAATATAAAATAGAAAAAGGAAGTATTCAGGCAAAGTTTCTTAAACTCTGTAAAACATATAAAGCCAAGCAAAGGGGCTGCTTATTAAAACAATAGTAAATACCTTAAAGCGTACGATTTAGTTTAAAAGATTAAACGATAAAAAATGATACGCACAGAGAAAAAGCCCCCCTCAAACAATAACAAAAAACAAGCTAAAAATAACATTTTGACTACAAATAACTATCCCGTCTTCTAAAGACTCACCCTAAAATATCCTATCAAGTACAAAAAAGCAGTGGTAAAATTAAATTAGAAAAAATTAATATAAGACTTTGCTTAGAAATAGTTTGCTCAAAAAAATCTATGTTTGCGCAAAATTCCACATTCAAAGTCTTTTTTTAGTTATGTAACAGAATATGTTTCTCTCTTTAAATCAACTATGTTTACATTGCTTAAAATATTATTACCTTCTCTTGTAACAGATACCTGTAAGTTTTTTGTAACAATACCAGAAGTAATTAAGCATCCAATTACTCTGCCTACTTTAGAAACATTAAATATCTGAAGCACCTTCGCCTGCGCAACAAATTTATGTTCTATTATAGGATCTAACATATCATTTAACATTTGTTTTACATCATCAAATAAATCATATATCACCTTGTAAGATTTAATTTTGATACCTTGAAGTTGAGCTTGAGTGGTTATGCTAGTCATGTTAACCATATGGTACAACACAAGACTTTCATAAAAACTTCCCAATCAAGTGGTGCAAGGTAGGTTTTAGGGGGGGGGCTAGCATATATATATATATTATTCAGGAGACCCATAAAGAGTTGTTGAATAAACGACACCAAAACACAAGGTATATCAAAGCTGGTATTGCAAAGCAAAAGCTGGATCAAATAATTAATCGAACTATATATATATAATGTGAGTATAATATTATGCATATCATATAGGTTCTCACACTCGTTCTCACCTAATCCATCCTAATCCTCTGTTGCCACAAGTCTCGCGTCTCCCGTCTCCAAGTTCCGTTCTTCGTCCTTCGGAAAAACCGGAGGTCGAGCGACCCGGTGTAACCCCCGGTGAACCCACGTGGCACTTGTTACTAGTAGCGTGGCACTTGTTTCTAATAGCGTCCTTGCTCCTAGTAGCGTGGCACCTGTTACTACTAGTAAGGCACTTGTTCCTAATAGCTTCTTGTTACTACTAGTAAGGCACTTGTTACTAGTAGCGTGGCACTTGTTTCTAATAGCTTCTTGTTACTACTAGTAAGGCACCTGTTACTAGTAGCGTGGCACGGGGGGGGCAGCCGTTTCTTCCCGGACCTCCATGAGGGTCTGGACGATGAAGGGGTCGAAACCGCGGCGTAGCACTGTGTCTCCGCCTCGGGTACCGTGGGTGGCAGAGAGAAACCAAGGTGGTGCGTCCAACAAAGAAGAAGGGGTGGGTTTCACAGAATGGCTGTATTTGCACCATGGCCGAGAAGTCAAAAGGTGTGTTTGTCTTTCATTGGACTTTTGCCTCTTCTGGCTTTTGGAAACATCATCAAAAGTCTCATCTGATCGTCACTTGAATATATATATATATATGTATGACACTATATGACAGCCACCATAGGAAAAATGGTGGACACATTGATACCCAATAAAGAAAGGGCACTGCTGCGAGCGCACCGGCTTCCACCACAAGTCGGAAGGTCGAACACGTGTCGCGTGGATCGTGAAGGAAGGTCGACACGTGGATGGTCTCCAACTGCAAAGCAAGAAGCATCAATCCAGAGCTCACATGTGCTCCCAACCAAGAGAACGATCACTTTTCCATATACTTAGCTGATACTTTTTGATACTTCTTGATAGCAGGTGCTCGAGGAGCCAGTTTGAGAAACAAACCAAACTGGTGCCATCCGGTATAGCTCTTCACTGGTTTCGCACTCCGCACCTTCCATCCACCTTCCCGGTCCTCCCCAATCCTCTCCTCTCCTGAGCCCTCAGCCCTCCGTCCGGGCGTCCCGGCGGAAGAAGAGATGGGTCTCAGAGCCCAAAGCATGGAGGATCCCAGCCATCTCCACTGCAATGTAGCCAGCTCCCACCACCGCCACCTGCTCGAGCGTGCGAACAACGAACCGGAGGAACCCGACCCGTTTTTTTTCGGCGTGGTTTGGGCATGTTTACCGCATCACCTGCATCGATTGGTCTCCAAGTGGCGGTTGGGTCTGTGAGACACGATGTCGACCTGCTTGAACACCAGAGAACACCTCCAAATCGGAAACCACTGTTGAAATCCTTTTCAGGAAGCGATCCGAAGGGGTTCTTTCAAAAAATGCGGTTCCCCATGGTTCCCTATGTTCATCGTCGGTATCCTTTTCAGTTCGCCAACTCGAAGGTCGCCTTCTTCGGCTGCTCTTCCAACTCGAAGAAGCCATCACTGTTGATCCTGTGCGCCACATGCCCGCAGAACTACAGCTGCCAGTCGTAGACTTCAGAAAGGGTCCTGTCCCCTTTGGACCGTGGACTGCGTGGACACCGTGGACCATCCAAAAACATCTCTCAGGATGACCTGTACAAGGTGGTTCCAAGGACCCTTGCATCTTCAGCTTCACAGTTTGCACAAACTCTGCTACGATGTTCTCTATATTGGAGAGGCCTTTAGAGGGAAAAGGAGTTTCAAAACCGACATCGAAAGCATCGCCAACCAAGAACAAACCGCTTCGAAAGATTTGAAGGATGATCCAGAATGCCCTTTGAAACCGCATCAGGGGCTTTAATTCAACGAGGTTTCACAATTGATTCCTGTGCACGAGGTTTCCCATGGGTGGTGTACAGTTGCATATTGGCCTGTTGTTCATTTGGCCTAATCTCTCACTTGTTCGTTTCATCCACTAAATACCCGAGTCATCCCGAGTCTAATTTGGGGCAGTCTCGGTTCTGCATGCGCAGGTGGTTTTCCAGTCACCTGAACTCGTGAACTCTTTCCCCTTCCGTCCCCTGAAGTTTCTCCAGTTCTCTGCGTCGTCCGTCCACCAGGGCCCCTTCTCTGTCAGAACCCCCCGACCTCCGGGTCCGCTACACGGTCTGCAGTCGAGGGACGCATGCTCCACCCCCGGAATGTCTGGCTCGGAGGGCAGCCCGCCACAAGCCACTAGGATGTGCTGGCCCTTCAAGACACGAGTGGTGCCATCGTTGCATTGCCTTGGAGCTGATGCTTTGATGCGAGTTGTTGGAGGTCGCATGGGGGGTTCGGATGCATGCGAATGGGACAAAACATGACAATATATCAATAATAATAAAAAATAAAAAGTAATTTCCATTGGTTGTCTTGATGATGATGATGAAGAAGATGATGATGATGATGACGATGACGATGATGATGATTGGTGGAGTTCTTGGTTCTTGCTTCTCCTCCATCCGATTCGCTCCAATTTCACTTCCTCGAAACCTTCTCAAGAAATATTTCAGCAATAAACAGGTTAGAGCCATCTATAGCCCTGCGCCAGGTTCCAGTCGAACCATCTTCAACACCCGAACCTAGTTGATTCGAGCTGCACTGATACGGTCTGCGCGTCTGTGAAGCTGGCAAAGCCTCTGCGATGGCGCGCGTTCGGGTTCCAGAGACTTATGAGACTTGGCGAAGGACTGGCGGTGAAGGGCAGGAACACATAGGAACACCATACGATTAGTATTTTTCATGCTGGCCTTACCAAACAGTATCACACCCTGTCGGAACCTGGGCCATGAAGAACCGGACCGGAAATCACGGCGGTTTGAAGGTGTTTTGTTTTTTTGATGGGCATGATATGGCATGATGATGAAGTCTTCCCATCCTCCCGTGATGAAGCAAAGCGAATCGAATGGATGATGCTATGATGGTGATAAATATGTCGCTCTCGACCTTTATGGCAGAAAAAAAACCATATTATGTCCCGGACACCGGGTTTCATTCTCATGGTATTTGGGGGGGCATCAGAGTACACCGCGTTCAGGTGACCCCATGTGTTTGCTTCGGGCACACGGAATCTGTGCCCCCCTGAAGCCATCAAAAAAAATGGGCGCCGCCGTGGGTGGGTCAAAGCAAGAAAACGAAGAAACATGATAAAATACACCCACACCCACACACATCTTCTTTTGATTTACTAATGGCAATGGCCTCCAACCTAATAGCGTTGAACCACTCTGCAGCGTCACGATCTTGAAGTGAGGGATGCGGAGCGAAAGGTTGCATGAATGTGGGTGGGGGGGGCGTGACCAGTGTGACCATGATTTCAGGTACATAACCTATACAAATTAAGTATAGTCTTTGGACGCATAGGGCATAGGGTATATACAATGTACATTATAACACGTAAACACCCCATGTACCAGGACATACCAGGACCCTCCCAACTTGAGGGGTTTTTGGTCACACACCTGCACACACCCGTGAGCGTCATGGACCCGCTCAATGGTTCAGAGATGTCGCCACCCCGCCGATGACTTCGAGAGGCCTTCGATGACTTCGACACCTGGAATCGAGAGGCCCCTGCTTCTTTTCCCCACGGAAATCTGGACACGGAAAATGTGTTGGAAAAGAAAGCACGCGAGGGATTGACATGTAACCGTCATACAAAACAGATTCCACATGGAAACAAATTGTCTGCAACATCTGACCAGCGGAACCTGGAAGATTTGGGAAGGGAGCTGATGGATGACCTTCTTCTGCAAATGTCATAATCATAGCCATAGCCAAACATGATGAATTCTTGCCTTCGAAATGGCTGGTCGAACATTCATCTCTGTTATAGTTTCTACATGAAAACAGAAACAATGGGTGTGTTGAATTAAGACTGAGCAAATCGATCACCCAGCATTCATGGTGGGCCTGCACGAGTATCATTGAGCATACTAGATAGATAGTGATCGATAGGATAGCTTAGTTATCCTAGGTTGATTCAATCAAGAGTTCAAGAGGTTATCAAGATATTGATCACCTCTTGATGTTTGAGCATCATCATCTTGATATCGAAAGAAAAACAAATAGCCCATAGCCTATAGCTATAGCTCAAGTGAGGTAGGCTTTGGAGGGTCCAACCCTCCAGCTGGGTGACTCTTAGACTCCTTTGCATCGATCTTTGCTGGACACCATTGGCTCGAGCCGCACGGCTCGGGCTATTTTGCCATCTTGGCCCTATCTTGGCCCCATGAATCCTGATCAAACCGCCCCATCCACGGACCTGGCCTTCCTTCTTCCAGCCGGCGGTGTAGTTGGTATTCAATTTGGCCACCTGAGAAAATGCTGAACATGCTAGATCATGAGCGTATCTTTGCCAGAAAAAAAAGAAAGAACAACACCCCGGAATGTTTCAAGGGAGGATGATCGGTGCACTGGAGGACGGACCCGCCAAAAAGCAGAACCCAAACGAACCCATGTATGGCATGTATGGCCCAACCAAGCCAACACTGGGGTGGTTCCGGGGGTCATACATGGATGGTCTGGGCGCTGTCAGCCGGTCACAGGCCTGCGGCCCGCGCTTCGGGCCTCGTGGCTCCGCAGTTTGCGGCCCACGATCTGCGGTAAATAAATACACGTGTCACATACACTCCCGAAAACTAACATGGAAGTGGAGAATGGTCCCTTGGAAGACCATGAAATCCACTACAAACAGGTGGTTTTCCACTTCCATGTTAGTTCCAGCGAGAGTAATAATTATCTATCAAGAAAGAAAATACAGAAAAACAACCTACTAGCGATGGCCTCCAACCTGGGTTTCATTGGAGAGGCTTGATGTGGGTTGTAGCAGTTCCATTCAATCAGTTCCATGGCAGGCTCTGATGAGATGCCTCCAAAAAGGTCAAAAACACTGCAGAACAACTGGAAGATCTTTCTCCGTAGTAGGTGCCCGTCCACCAGGGGTGCACCCTGAACCATTCACCAAACCACCAAACCAGCCCAAACCACCCGTCTGGCACCGTCTGGCCGTGGCACGTACTTGTCGCGGCGCTCCTTCAAGCCTTTCCAGTCGATCTTTCCAGCTCCCTCAGGCACGGTGAAGCCATAGCCCTGAGCAAGGATGCTACAAGTACCAGTCTCCTGGCCTTACTACTAGGAACAAGAAGCTACTACGCACGGTGAAGCCATAGCCCTGCCCCGAAGGGGGTCATGTGAAACTCTAGAACAAAAACGGAGTTTCACTCGGGGGGGTCATGCGGTGAAGTAACAAAGGGACTGTTGATTATTTAAGGTTGATTGGGGACTGTTGATCCTCCAGGCTGGGGGATGTTGCTCAACAGTCCACATTAAATGTGCGTCACATCTATTATGTGGAGATTGTGTTTGCTGCCCAAGATTTCACCTCAGCTGGTGAAGATCAAGTGTCCCTTCCTGCAGTCAGGGTAACGACCAAGGATAGAAACTCCTGACTCCTAGCTGTTGCATCTTGAGATCCAACTAATATCGTCGGGCATGCCCCTTTGGGCAGCCAGTGCAGGGCAATGAGAGTGGCAAGCCCTCTAAACCAGGGAGACCCACTGGAACATGCCAATGTGGCACCTGGGGCAGGACTGCAGAACTAGATTCCCACGAGTCCCGTAGTAGTGTCTCCCACTCCGCTGGTCTGGTGGCAGATGGTGGCAGTCTGTTGCACTATGCTGCTCATTGAAAACATCAACCATTCCGTTCAATCGCTCCCACCAATCAACTAGACACACACACACTCAAATCGCCCCACTTCACATCCCAAGTCGTCCCTCTGATTGACCGTCGGCGACGAGACGACGAGACCTTGTTACTGCCGAAGGTACTGGTCGAAGGTACTGCCGATCGTCTCACAAACCCAGTCACAAGATCCGATCTTCTCTGCTCACATTCGATCGTGCGGCATGTCACATGTCCGGCGAACACGATCTTTCAAGGGCGACGGTGGGTGCCACTGAAGGAGGCTGTGCAAATGAGGGAAAGGTGGGTTTCCCAGAGCCAAATGCTTCTGCAGTTTTTGTTCGACTTGACTGTAGACTCCAAACACGAACCCAATCCAAGCACGACCCCCGAACCTCCCCCATTCTTTGTTAACAGGTCATGGCGAGCCCACATCTTTGATGGAAGTGGAAAATGGCCCCTTGGATGACAATTTTCCTCTACAAACGTGTGGCTTTCCATGTAACCATCGGAGTAAACATCCTTGAAGGCCGTCCCACCATGCCCCGTCAACCGTGCTCTTCCGCTTCCGCTTCTCACCACGGCCTTGGCAGTGGCCGCCTCCCCGATCATCATCTCACGATGTGCAGCAGCCATGAACATGAGCTTCTTCCTCGGGAGTCCAAATCAATGGTCTCTGGGCCACTGAGCCTCGAAAGTCTCCGCATGTCATGTCGAAAACACTGACATTGTCTGACATTGTCTGAGACAGTATCAAAGGACATACATGTGGCGATCGATGTCCATACCACACTGTTGACGAATAGTTTAAAGGGTCTGGCTCCCTCTCACAAAGAAGTCGTGACCGCCCCT